ATTATATTTTTATAATAATATAATAAAAAATATAATTTATTTTATAAAAAAATCATCTAAAATATTAAAACATACCTTTATCACTTCATAATCTGCTTGAAGTTTAGCCATATTATCTGATTTTTCTTTTAACATTGTTTTTAGAGATTGTATTCTTTCATGTAAAGTTGACATTTCTTCTTCTGCTTCATTTAATTCAGATAAATATGCTTTGATTTGTTGGTTCTTTACATCTAGTTTTTTTTCAAATTCTTCAATAATTTCTGTTTGTTTTTTTATAACAATTTCATTATTCGAAATTTGACTGCATAAATCATTAATCTAAATATAATGAAATATTTTTATAAGTTATTATTTAATTAATTAAAAAATTTAATTAAAATTTAATTAAAAATTATTTAATTATTTTATTAGAATATAATAAAATAAAAAACCTGTATTTGTTTGTCTTCTAATTTTTTTAATAATTTTTCAAATTTCGTGCTACTTTCTTGAGTAGACTGTAACTTTTCCAATAAATCTTCTGTATTTTTTGTTTGTTTTTTTAAGTCAGATTTAAGTTGTTCATTTTCATATTGTAAACAACACTCTGTATCTCTTAATTTCTGTAATTCAAATGAAATCTGTTGAATATAAATATCGTTTTCTCTTTCTGTTTTCAATTCTTTATCAATTATGTCAAAATCTAATTTATATTTTTGTAATTGCTTTTTCATATCTTCATTTTCTCTAATTAAAATTTCAATTTCTGTTTGTAAATCATGTTCATATGAATAATTTGTACATTGTTTTTTATTATCATATGTTATATTTTCATAATCAAATATATTTTGAGTAATACAGCTTTTATCTTTAACTTCTATTTTGTATTGACATTCTTTATCTTCTCCAATCTTTATTTTATATTCAGTTTTTAATGTTTCTTTTCTAAATCAATTAACAGTCATTTTTAAAATATTTTATGTATTCTTATGAATAAAATTTTATATTAAAATATTACCTTAATTCTTGTAATTTTTCTTCTGCTTCTTGCCATAGTTTTTTTGTATTTAAATACTTATTTTCCAAATAGCATTTTGATTGTATCAGAGTATCTATCTGAAATGAAATTAATATATTTTATATCATATAAATAGTAAAAAAAATATATTTCTTTTTTTTTTTTTTTTTTGATAATGATTGTTATACCTCATTTTTCAGAGATTGAATATCATTTATACGAATTTCCAGTTGTTCCTAGAAAATATCAAATTATTAATATATTAGTAAAAAAATATCTTTAATTTTAATTTTTAAAATTAATTTTTAATATTTTGATACTATATTTATGATATTTAACAATAATTATTTTTATTTTAATAATTAATATAAATTTTAATTCAAAATATAATAAAACTTTGATGAAAATAAATATTTTTTATTATCAAAATAAATCAATTTCACCACATTATTTATTACAATATTTTATATTTCTCTACCTGTATTGTTTTTAAAATGAAATAATGTGTAATATGAATAAAATTAATAGCTAAGAAATTATTGTATTCCATGGAAATAATTTTTTGTTGAAGATCCTGAATTGCATTTCGTTGAAGCTCTAACAATTTGTCTTGTTTAGCTGCCTATATAAATTGAATTATATTATTATTATAAATATAATAATAAAAATTTTATAAACAAATCATTTATATTAGAATCAAATTATAAAGAAAAGATTTATAATACCTCTGCAAAACATTCATTATATTGACTTTGAATTTCTTCTACATATATCATCAATAAGCGAATAGTTTCAATTTTTTCTTCAGACTGCAAATAATAGGTAGTTCGATTCTTTTTTTAGAAATAATACTTTAAAATAATATTTATGTAATAACAATAACACCACTTACACAAACATTGTTTTTCTGTATAAAATTTTATCAAATCACATAATTAATTTTTATACTATGTATTTGAAATTAAAAAAGAAATATTAATTTAGTTAATTTACAACTATTAATATTTGATTAAAATGGAACAAATACATGCATGTTATTTGTTAAATTATTTATTATAACAATAAATGGTAATAAAATTTATTTTTTAGACATGATTTTTTGTTTAAAGAAATATATTTATTTTTATTTTAAAATGATAAAATAGATTTTCTTAGTAGATATTTTTAACAATTTTAACAATTGCCAACAATATTTATAAAAATAAAATTTTAAATATTAATAAATATTAAACATCTATACAATTTTTCATACTATTTAAATAAATTTTAAATTTTAAATAATTAAATTTGTATACAAATTTACAGAATTTTAAATATTTTAGATAATATATAATTATTGTGAATCTAAAAATATAAAATATAGTGTAAAAAAATTAAAAACAAATTCAATTATTTTATATAGTAACTGTTAAAATTTAAAAATTACATTATAGATTACTATCTTATTTATATATTGAATAATTATTTTATATAAATAATATATGAGTTAATTGCACATATTTAATTATCATAAATTAACGTTTAAACATCATGCACATTCCTTTGATTGAATGTTACAGATGGAATTGCAGACCACTGTTCACTCATATCACTCACTGTTCTATTTCCCATTTGATCTATACATTTTTTAGCTTCCACTACAGCATTTTGTAAATGACCAATAGTTTGAATTTGAAGTTCATTCTAAAGAATAAAATATATTTTTATTATTTGATAGAAACAAATGACATTCATATATAAAAATAAAAGTTTTTTATATAGTTTTTATTAATATAAAATTAATACAAACCTGTTTTGATAAATCTTTCTTTTCCTTCTCATATTGAGAAATTATTTGATTTTGATTATCGATCTAAAAATATGTACATTATATGATACATTAAAATTACTATATTTGTGACTGACATACCTTTGACTAATCTTGATAGTTTTAAATTAATAATCACATTTTTGATGAAACAATTTAAAAAGATTATTGAAGTAATAAATATTTTAAGTAAATTATATAGTTTAAGAATTAAATAAATAACATATATACTTTTATAAGAATTAAATAAATAACATATATACTTTTATTCTAAATTCTAATTTTAAATTTCTTTATATAAATAATATAATTATATAATAATAAAATTGTTAATTTTTCATAACAAAACAGATCTGTGTTTTTATTACTATTTTATATAGATCTAGATTTGTTTTTGAAATACGAGGATTGCAATCTTTGGACATATATAGTTTTCTTATTATTTCTTATTATTTGAATATTGAAAAATTGAGCAATTTATCTTATAAGTTAAATTTTTAAGTTAAAAAAGTAAAATTTTTAAAATTCCAAATTATAAAATAAAAAGAAAGTTTTTAATTTCTTTTGTTATGAAGATTGTTTTTTTTTATAGTTTTAAATATTTTATACAATAAATTATTAATATTAAATATTATAAAATAATTTTGAAATAGAAGACTTAATGTTAACATACCTTTTCCTGATATTTTTGGTGAAGTTCTTTCAATTCAGTTTGTGTCATTACAATGGAATCTTTTTGAATATCAATAATTTCCTTCATATTTTCTATCTATAAATATAGTTGTGATTATATATCATTAATATTTTTATTCATATTTCAATTCTGTCATTTTGTTCAAAATTCAATAATACTTACAAGTTTATCTTTGGAATATAATGCATTTTTGAGTTCTTCAATTTCTTGAAAGCAATTGTCTAATTCACTTTCATGTTTTTGTAATATTTCCAATAAATTCATTAATGATCTTGCAGAAGAACAACAATTAGAATCTTCACAAATCTGTAAGATATTATTTTAAAATAAATAATATTTATAATTCATGCATTTATATTATAATATATAATTTTTATTTAAAATTCTATACATTCATTATAAACGTAAAATTAAATAAAATAAGAAATTTATACAAACCAATTTTTTAAGTTCTGTTTTAAGTTCTTGAAGACCAATTTTTGTACATTTTATGCTATTTTTTAATTTTTTAAATAATTGATGTGCTGTCTATAAAAACAAATAAATTTATTAATTTTAATTTAATGTAATTATATTTATTTTATATAAATTATCAATAATATTTACCATTGTATCATGTCTAAATTGATAACAGCTACATTGCAACAAAGTTTCTTCCATATTATATTCATTGTGCTTTTATTTAGACATAAAAAATATAAAAAATATAAGTTATATTAATTTGCGTATGTATCTTATGGTTCTAAATTTCTACTATTAACATTATATTATATTATATTAAGAAAAAAAAAAAATAATTCAGAAATAAGAAATTAACTTACGGAAGAATTTAATAATTCTTTAGATTTTTTTAATTCAATTTCGATATCATTCAATTCACGTCTAAGAGTACATTCAATTTCTTTTTGAAATTTAAGCTAAAATTATAGATATGTATAAATAATTTTATTTAATAACATTAAATAAATATTGTAAGTAAATATTTACAGTATTTTCTAATTCTATGATTTTTTTTTTTAATTTCATGTTGTTTATAGAATGAGATCGTCTATAATTGTCTGCTTTTCCATGTATTATATGAAGCTCTTCTTCTAATGATTGAATATTATTTCTTAAAAAATTATTTGCTTCTTCATTGCATTTGGCCTATAAAAGGACAAATAAAGATAAATATAAACTGATAAATTAATAAACAATAAATATTAAATATTCAAAATTTAAATATTAAATACCTCGTGTTGTAATATTTTAACTTGATCTTGTAAATCAGTTACTCTAGATTTCCATAAACATGTTTTTTTATCGCATTCTGAATTAAGTGATTTCTGTGAAATAGTTATTATAAACAAAAAAATTGATTTATAATATATGTAATTTAAATAATATAATATAATATATATATATATATATATAAATATTCTTACTTGCGATAGTTTATATTTTAAATCATCATATTCTTTTCTTAACTTGTTCACACTTTGTTTAGTTTGTAACACTTCATGTAAAATCTAAAATAAAAAAAAATTTATATTAAAAAACATATCTATATTATAATATTAAAAATTAAGTAAAATTTTATTTAATTGTAATATATTATTTTTATTTAATTATAATATAATATAAATACAAATACATACATGTTCTTTTGAAGAAAAAAATGTTTCTAATATATCTTGTACTTTTAAATGAATTGTATCAACTTCTTCTTCTAATTTTTGTAATTTCTGTTCTTTTTGTGATAGTGTTATTTCTACTATATCATGTTCTGTCAACTACAAATAATAAAGCACAAATTAAATAATGATATAAAAATAAATAATGATTTATTTACTAGCTAATGAACTAGAATTAAAATTAATAAATAGTAATTAATTATATTTATAACAATTAACCAATTACTAATACAATTACACTAACTGTTTCATCTATTTTGTCATGTAATTTTTTTGTGGATAAATCTACTTCACAAAATTGATTCTTCAACTTCTCAAGATCTTTTACTATACAACACCCCTGAAATAATTTAAATATTATTTATTTAATATTAATATTTTAACGCCAAGTAATAAGAAATTTAAAAATTACTTGAACTTGAAATATTTGCAAACTAGATGATGTTTGTTCTATTTCTTCAATTATTGAACATAATAAGTCATAATTAGATATATTTGTACAGTTAGATATGTCTTCTACACAATATGACATATTTTCCTAAAATTTTGTTGAAATAATTATAAATAATTATATCATGCTTTTTAATTAATAAAATAATTAAAAAAAAAAAAGAATCCTACATTAGACTGCATTTCATTGACATGACTTAATTGAGATTGAGTAATATTTATTTCATTTTTTATATCTTTCAATTTATTCTCTCCTGAAATAATTCTATCATTATGTCTTACTCTTTCTTCTTCCTATGATAAAGAGAAAATATGTATCAATTAAAATGATATAATAAATGATAATATTAAATATAATTGTATTTAATAATTCTTACTTGTAATTGTAATTTATTAATCACATTTGCTATTTTTTCTCGACATTTTATTAACTGATTTTGTACATTCAAAACTTCTTTATTTAAATCAATATACTATAAAAATATTTTGTTATTAATATATAATAATATAAAATTATATATATATATATATTAACACATAATTTACCTTTTGATGTCTACATTTAAAGGAAGAAACAATCATATTTATTTCATCTTTGATATCTTCCATAGTAACTTGTGCTTCAACAGCACATTCTCTAAATATATCCATTAACTTAAATTGATTAATATCTGTATTTGGCTAAAATATAGAATTAATTTTCATTTATTATTTTAAAAAGATATTATACATTAATATTATATTATAAAATATTATATAAAATTTATTTTTTAATTATTTGATTTACATTTAAATAAAAATTTATTTTTTCTTAAAATATATTATTTATTAAGATAAAATTTAAATATTAGCTAATACTTACTAATAAATTTAAATTTTCTGTATGAAAAAGATTATCATTTTCTATTTGAAGCTATAGGAATATAAAATAAAATTTTATAAATAATCAATATTTATATATAATTGTTTAATAAATAAATAAATAAAAAATTATACATACTAAAGAATTAATTATTCCAATTAATTCATCCTTTTTTGAGTATATTTTGTTTACATATTCA